ACCATTTGCTTCGATAACAGCTAAACATCGCATGCGCATTGTTTTAATGTATTTTTGGCACTCTTCCGCTGTAATTTCGTACCATACTTTTGAGGAATAAACATTATGCTTATGTTAATAATTTTATTAAAAATGTATATAAATCAATTAATTTTTATTAACTTCAATGTTATAATTTATGTATGAATAAAAAATATGTAAAATTTAAATTATAGATATTATCCAAATTTGTTAATGTCTATTTATGTTTTTCATATTATAAAATAATAATTATTATATTTTTATGAATTGACATATAATTCTTTAACAGACTATTTATTTATAGTATTTATAAAAATATCTATTTTTAATATATTGAAAAGTTTTTTTCTACTTCTATTAGAATTCCATTTGTAGAAATAGGTTTATTCCTAAAATAATACTCAGAAATTAAAATAGTTATAAATAGATTTTATGTTTCAAAAAGCTTAATATAAATAATAATGTGTTTTAATTTTTTTAAAAAAAGAATATTACAATTTTTATATTAAACTAAATTATGTTCTTTCATATATTTATTTAACATATCTTTTTCATTAAATTGTTCTAATGTAATCCAAGTATTATCTACATCACTGTAATCTTTCCATTTTATTAAAAATTTATAATTATTATTTTCAAATACATGATTTACAATTTTTTCAACTTCATATGAATTATTTTTAGATATATTTCTAATTTTATCAATACTAATAACTTTTTGTTTTCCTTTCTTTTTTCTTTTTCTTTTTTTCTCGTTAAATTTAGGAACATCTTCATCTGAACTTAATTTATTATTATCATTATTACTATCTTCACTAAATTCATCAATAATCATATTAGTATCAATTGAAAATTCTAAAAAACTTTTTTGTAACTCTAACATTTCATTTTTTCTTTTTGACTGTTCCATAGAATTACTAATTACAATATCTATTAACTTTTCTTTAAAAGGAAATTCAAAATTATCTGATTCCCATAATTTGTGGTGTGATTGTATATTAATATTAAATATTTCTACAAATTTCTGTATATTTTTTAACAAACAAGCTGTCTTGAATTGCAAATTATAAAATTTAATATTATCTATTTTAGCAGTTGAGTTACTGTTACTAAATCTTAAAAACTTATTTCCAATATCTGAAAATTGTGCTTCAATTTTGGATCTAAAACTACCAAAAACATCATTAAAGTGCCTTTCATCGGATGATAAATCTAAATTAACTTCTTTACGTATAGGATAAATAAAATTATTATTATTTAGATTAAATCCTTTTTCAGATGATAAATCTATTAATTGGTTTATAAATAAAGTATATCCACCATCTGTTGCTAAAACATCATAACTATTTATTTTTCTATATAATTTCATATTTAAAAACATGCTTCCATCAGAACTATCAGCACAAAAATCACTTTTTGAAATATAAATTATCATATCATTAATATCAGAAATTATTTGTGTTCTTATTCCATTTTTTTTAAACTTATATGAAAATAGTCTTTCTCTTTTTATATCTGTATCAACATAGTTAATTCTGGAATCGTGACCATCAATAATTAAAGTTACGTGTTTAAAAAGTGGTGGATTATGTTTATATGAAGATAAAATTCTTAATCTTATTGAAGAAAACATATTTTCTAATGAATCATTAATAATTTTATTTATTCTTTTGTAGTTATCTTCATCCATCCAAAACTTTTTATAATATTTATGAAAGCTACTTTGTGGAAGAAACTTATTTATATCTATACCTGATACCCCAGATACCAAATGATATAATAAGAATAACCCTTTTTCTACTTCAAAATATGGTGCAGGATATTCTTTACTAGTGTATAAAACAACTAAGAAGAAAAATACAGATATATATCCTAATTTTTTAACTAATTCTTTTTTAATTTCTTTAATATTTTTTATATGTTTTATTTCAGTTCTATGCTTATATTCATAACTTATAATAGGCCAATTATAATCCAAAAAACTCCAATTATTAATAATAATCTTATTTACTTCATTATTAATATCATCTTCAAGTGAAGTATTAATAGTCATTTTTATATTATATTATAAATTCAATTTTATAAATAGAGCAAATTTTTTTAAAATATCAGGTTTAATTTTAATTATTATCATAAAACTTGAACATTAGTTTTTTCAAAAAACAAAAAATAAGGATTTACCCCCTTTGAGGTGCGCTCCCATAATTCATGTATACCTACTGGTGGATAGTCATAATGCTTGAACAAGCGATACTTGAGCAAAGGCCAGATATTTTCAATTGGATTTAGGTCGGGTGATTGCGCTGGCCATTCCAGGACCTTTATTTCACTATTACGTAGCCATTCCATCACAATTTTGGACTTGTGCTTTGGGTCATTGTCTTGCATAAAGATGAAGTGACCCTTTGGTAAGTCGTTTTC